TCCTGGCCATTGACGTAACCACAATTTTTAAGCAATAAATGTTTTCTTTTCTGTTAACTTTTTTATTCTGCCTGTTTGTCCAGCTCATTTTCAGGGGCTTGTTTTTCTTTTGTGGGTTTGTTGGGTTTGGTTTTTGTTTGGTTGGTTGTTTTTTCCTTTTATATCACTTTTATGACCTGCTAACTCTGAGGTTTTGTAATGCCCCTTCAGAGATTGAGACATTCATTGTTACTTTTCTTCCAAGGTCTGTCTCTGTTTCTAGCTGTAGATTCCTGGCTGCCTCAGTCAGGACACCAGGCCTCTATACGCAGACAGCGTAGCAGGCAATAAAACATGCTTTGTATGGATCAGATAGCCAGTCTGGTGGGGAGCAGCCTTCCTGCATCTAAACATCCAGAGAACCTGTGCTGCTGCTTCCCTATTACTCTGATCACCAGCTGGCATATAACCAGCATTATAGCAGTCGTTGTCTAATATTTCAGAGTCCAGAGGCCACAGAGATGCTGCAAGAGCTGGAGCAGCTCTGCTCTGAAGTCAGGCTGAGAGAGCTGGGCTTATTCAGCCTGGAGACAAGAAGGCTCCTTAAGGGGAGACCTTGTAGCCCCTTTAGGCACTGGAAGCTCCTCTAAGAAACCTGGAGAGGGCCTTTGGACAAGGGCCTGTAGGGACAGGACAAGGGGAAGGGCTTTAACCTGCCAGAGGGGAGACTGAGATGAGCTCTTAGGCAGAAGTTCTTCCCTGTGAGGGTGCTGAGGTGCTGGCACAGGGTGCCCAGAGAAGCTGTGGCTGCCCCATCCCTGGCAGTGTTCAAAGCCAGGTTGGATGGGGCTTGGAGCAGCCTGGTCTGGTGGAAGGTGTCCCTGCCCATGGCAGGGGTTTGGAACTGGATGAGCTTTAAGGTCCCTTGCAACACAACCCATTGTGTGATTCTATGATCTGTTCTAAATCAGGCTGGTGAAGCAGTCCAGTAGATGGCACCCAGCCCTTTCTGTTCCAGCTGAACAGAGCCAGGAGCTGCCTCCTGAGGGGACTACACAGTGTTCTGCCCGTGGAAAACTCAGATCCAGTGGCACTTCTGACGTTGTCAGTATGGGAAAATTCCAGCTTTGGTTCTTCCTGCACCCTAGGTTTTGAAGGTAATCCCCAAATCCCTTGGCATTTCGATGTGACAATTGAAGCAGAGCTTTAGAGTCAAGTGGACTATCTCTGCCTGTGATCACTTCGAAGTGATTTTGGGGGTGGGCCTCTGTGTACTGCTGCTTATTGCAGTGACTTGCAAGATATCTCTTTGCTGGACATGGGCTGTTTGCCTGGGGGTATTTAGCTCTTTGCAGTGCTGATAGGGATCATTATTTTTCCTTTGGCTTTGTTCAAGGCCAGAGTGAGTTGTCTGGCCCTTTCTGACATTTGGATTTCACAAAAAACCCTTCATATGACAGATGAGAATCAGCATCTCTCACTTTAGTTTTTTGATCATATTGCGTTCAGTTCTTTGTAAATAGTATTTACTTTCCCATGGAGTCTGCAGTCAAGGCAGGGGTTTGTTACCTTTTTCCTTCCCTGCAGAGGAGTCTTGTGTGATTTATATCTGTATGGTCTACAGGGGCCTCAGGACTGGAGGATTGCAAGGTACTGATTAAAGGCTGCTCATAGGAAGGAGGAGGTGCTGCCTCCTGAATTACTATGTTCGTATGCCATGGGTATTAATATCTGCAGGATTGAATGTTAGAGATGATGTTTGGTATTGTTAATTGCCATGCTGTAATCCATAACTTGTGCCTGTAAGCCCTGCATGAGTCACGGAGCATCTGCTTCTGTGTGCAGAGCAGGCCAGTGTCATTTGGCAGGAACTCCAGTGCCACAGCAAGGACTGCATAGGTGGGAAAGGACTGTGAAGAAGAGCCCAAGCCTGCAAAAATGGCCTTGCAGGGGTTGTTACAAGCTTAAGAGGCAAACTGGCACCACAGGAGGGGTGCAGAGAGCATGGGGACCGGCAGGTAGCTGGGTTGTTGTGTGCCTCTTGGTGCAGTGGGCTTTTATTGCTCTTCCCACACTGTGTAAGAGGCATTTTGTAACTTTCATGCATGTGTAAGACTTTAAATCATGTGAATGACTCACCTCTTCAAATGAGTCTTGTGCTACAGCAGAGATGAAGATTTAGTAGCAGCCTCAGAGGTTGGGGGGGGTCTTTTCATTATGAAATGTGCCATTGTTATAGAGAGAAATTATACTGGTACATCAAATTGAGATGAGGGAAGAAGACGGACAAAAGGTAGTATTTGTGATGCCAGGGGATAGTATTACAGAACTACAGGAAATGAGCAGTATTTTTGGAAAGTGATAGATGAGACCAGTGTTGGGTAGGCATGAGCTGAGATGAAGCAGGGTGAGGGTCGAATTAGCAGCTCTTATTCCTGCAATAGAGTCTTAAAAGGCTTTTGTGGTGGTTTGGTTTGTTGTTTTTTTTCCACTACTGTAGGATCTGAAGTGGGATCCCTTCAAGGGGACAAGTTTCCTCTTTTCTTTCCAGAGTCTGTGACTTTAAGCATTTCCAACTTGTATGGTTTGTCTTTTCCACCAGCTTCCTTCTTCTTCCCCTTCCTGCAACTTTTCCACTCACTGTTTTTGTTTCAGCAAGTATGTTTGACCAGTGGGAAGTCAGAGGCAGTGCTGCTGTTAGTGCACACTGAAATAACAAACCTTCTTGTGCACTGCTCATCTTTGGTTAGTTCTGGATGTTCCATCCCTGGCAGTATTCAAGGTCAGATTGGATGGGGCTTGGAGCAGCCTGGTCTAGTGGAAGGTGGACCCTGCCTGTGGCAGGGGGTTGGAACCGAGTGAACTGTAAGGTCTCTTCAACCCTAGCCAGTCTGGGATTCTGTGATTCATTGTGTTGGAACCTTTGAGGGATTTATCCTGCACATGTTGTCAGATATACCACCAAGTGCTTGCTACAGGTCCCTCCTTGGAAAACACAGCATGTAGAGACAGAACAATGTGGCTAGGGATACTCTCCATCTAAATGAGAAATAATCTGAGTCAAGAGAGAAGGCAAAGCTCATGAAATGGAGGAATGTCCTGCCTCTTCCAGCCTTTTTCAAGGGTCTCTAGCAGCATGTGAGCAGTGATGGAGCATGACAGCCTGCTGAAATGATTGGATCTACAGCATGAGCAGAGGGTCCTACCCTGGGGCAAGGGCAGGAAGAACTCCTGAGTCACCTGGGCCTGGAGCACAGGTTATAGTTTGGAGAGGAAAAGCCAGATGGACTGAATGAAGTATAAGGGGGAACTTCATCAACAAGCAGTGTAAGATGGTAAGTGTTGAACTGGAGGAGAACTCCCAGCTCTCTCTGTGGATGACAAATTTGCTGTTGGTTTTATTCTCCAAATGAGCTTTCTGTGAGCTCCAGAGAGGTTACTTCATTAAAACACTGTATGGAGTTCAAGTCTGAGGCATTAGCACCTGAATCAGCAACTTGCTGGGCAGTGTGTGCTGCTGTGCCAGGCCAGGGCTTTGAGAAAGATCAATGGTGCTTTAAAGTGCTGAGACAGAAAAGAATTGGGGGGAATTATGTCCTCCACAAATCCTTTAATTGGTTGTGGGGTTTTTTTACTTAACTCAGTTTGTCCCCAAGTTACAGGATTGAATTTGAGCTTGGGATTTCCAGCTGAAGCTCTACTGAGAGACTTTGCTGCTAAATCTAGAAGTGATGATGTTGGGTTACATGTGAGTGCAAACCACACTGAGGACGCTGAATGTGGATAATGCAGGATGGATCCTGCACCTCCAGACTGTCTCAGGGTGTCCAATTCTCAGTAAGCAGTGAGTTGGAGATGCTTTAATAACGTTGTGAAGGCCAGGAGAAGGGACAATGTGGATTGTTTGCAGGCAAAGAGCCAGTTCACAGCTGAGCATTTCCAGTCTTGAGTCCCATCACCAGGCGGGGATCACTGAGAGTCTGTAGCAGGGGATGGATCTGACAACAGGGGCTCTTCACTTCTGGTCTGTAAAATGGAGTTTGCTATTATTTCACATGCTTTGCCACAGCTATACTCTGCAGCAAGGCTTTCTTATTTTTCTTAAGCATTTACACTAGGACTGGCACAGCAAACATCTGAATTCAATGGAAGCTTCTTAGTCCTCCTTCAGTTCCATTAAAAAAACCTCTTGCAACCAAAAACCCTAATCGTGACTCAGCCCAGCATGAAAACAATTCAGTAAATGGGTATTAAAATGTCTGTTATCCACTGTGCAGATCAAATACTACCTTTGTAACATCAAAACCACCATCCAGAAGAAACAATCTATTGCCTGGTAATTAATCTGAGCCCAGCTACAAAGAAGAGGGCAGGAACCTGTGTGCCACATGTGCCAGGGTAGAAAGAGCTGGTAATGGGAGGGGAAAACTGAAAAGCCGGTTTTGAACTGTAATTTCAGAAGGCAAGAAGTAACAGCAGTGGGTTATTTAGGCACGCAGAAATGTTTGACTTATTTTTAGACAGAACAAGAAAGATAATCAGTGGATCTGGAGTTCAGAAAGGAAAAAGCAAACAGAAGGAAGCTCTGAGTCAGTGGAGGAGACTGACCCTAAAGAAAAGCTGGTCTAAAACCTCACCTCCTGGTTGCTGAGAACACAAACTCCCAGTGGTGCTAATGCTGGTTAGCCTTTTCTCAGCCCTTGTATTTTATAGGGGGAGACAATTTATTAGTCTCATTTATCTCCAGTTTAAGAAGAAACCAAGAGACAATGTACACATTCAGGTTGTTCAGCAGACCTGAAGGGTCTGGTCATAAAGCAACTGGAGGGTTGCTTTATGTGCTGCAAATGAAGTTGTGGTGTAAATCATGCTGCACTTTTCCCTCTAGTATACCTCATCTTCTGATGCAGCTGGCACAGCCTCTTAGCTCTGGACTTTGGAGAAATGAGAGATCTGAGGATCTCACCCATTTGGGGTTTTAGGTTTGTTTTTTTGGTTTTGTTTTGGGGTGGGTTTTTTTTTTTGCTGCTTCAATTTCTAAATTTCAGAATATAGAGCACTTTTCCCTTTTGGGATGAAATCTCTTACAGGATATAGTAGCAGTAAATCTTGGTTTTGCAATTGTTGGGCAGCTCAGTGCTGTTATTCATGGTGATGGGCATCTGTACATCTCACTGCCCTCAGGAAGAATTGTTTGCTACCAGCCAGGCACGTGAATGCACAGGAGAGAGCACAAGTGTAATAATTAAACCAAACCCAACCCCAAACACAAAAAACCCTACCTTTAAAAATTAATGAAACCATGAATAGTCTCCAGTGCTTTCATTAGGGTTGTGTGCCAGCTGCTTAATGGCACAGAATTCAAATTGCTGCGTGCAGAGAGGAAGCACACATAGTATTCTTGATGTTTTTAACAAGTTTAGGTATATACATTTAAATGTAACCATGTGCTCTTGTGAGCCTGGAAGACTCCCTTTTCATGCCATTAGGATGTAGGGGGTGTTTGGCAAAATCTTTGCAACTGTTACCAGTTGCAGAACTACCTGGTTTTGTCTGGTATTAAATGGTGTTTGTCTGGACCCGCTACTGTGTTCTTCTGGAGTCTTCTTGTTGAGAGTGACGAAGGTATCAGCAGTGATTATGTTATTCTTGCAAAAGCAAACCCTAAGAAATGGAGTTGTTTGAAAGAACAAACTGTTAGTCTTTGAATCATACATGGTTTGATGTCTCCTTCCTGTGCAGCATAAGTGCATGGTCCCCATTTACAGAGAGTCAAGCAGTTTCGCTTAGGACAATGCAAGTGGCATTGTTTTGTGGGTTATTTGGGTGGGGTTTTTTTAAGCACTAATTACAGTAAAATAGCTTATTCTAATGTACTAGGTCTATTATCTGTAAGCCTTAAAATGAGTGTGTATGCCCTGTGAGTCGAACTGAGCTCTGCTTGTCCTTGCCCTGCTCCCTGCAGAGTGCCTGCCAAGGCTGGCCATGCATGAGGATTCCCAGCATCCTTTTGAGGGGCAGAGGAAGGACGTTAACAAAGTTGCTGTGGATCCACTTTTCTACTAGTTAGCTTTTTCCTGTTTCTGCATCCTACCTGGTTCTCGGTGTTGTTTGTGTTGAGTATCTAACATGGGCTAGGCAGCTGATGGTGATGGGAGAGGAGCAGCAAAAGGCGCAAAGGAACGTCCATGCGTGCTCCATCTGTACCAGCATTGCAGAGTGCTGGGAAGAACGTCGGTACCATCAGGCAGATGATGCAATAATTCTTTTCCATCTGTTCTCGTCTATATTTGCACTCACAGGAAAGCTTCCTTCTTGTGAGACACAGCAATCTCTGGTTTCAAACACTGTCCCTGTTTCGGAAGTTCCTTTGGGAGCCTGGTGCTGGGAAATGCTCCAGTGGGGCTCACCAGGCACCCAGAATAGTAGGGCCATGTCACCTAGCAACTCCTCACAACTGTAGAAGGCTTTGTTGGAGTGGATCAAGGTGACACTTAGCTGCTATTTTCAGACCTGCACTTCCTGCTGGCTGTTGCAAATTTATTTCCCTGCTTTATTTATTTATTTGCTTGCCTTTTGCTGAATCATAGACCTGGAAAATACTTCTGAGGTCACTGCAATCCACAGCTCTGCTTCCTGATTGATTTTGCTGCTATTTTCCAGTTTTACATGGCACACAGCAACTCAAAATGGACTATGAGAAGCTGCCTGCGCTTCATGGATGTAGCTTTCTTGCTGCACAAGGTGTTTCTTCCCTGTTCTTTTGTCTTAAAATTAATGGAGCTGCTCAAAACTTAATGCTGCCTTTGCCAGGGCTGCTTCCACAGCCACAGTGGGATGGAAAGCACTGAGCCACCATGTGGGATGGCTCCAAGAGTGCACCCTGTGCAGCTTCCCCCTCACAGCCACTGCCTCTGGTAAATCCAGACATCACCATCTCCTCTCCATGGCATTTTCCCTCCCCCTGAGTCTGCAGCCCTTTAGCACTTAAGAGCCACCCCTCCATCTCCAGGTAGCATTTGAAATGTGCAGAATGGGTACATTCAGTGGCTGGATGTAATGATTGCATTAAAACAGTTAAAGTCAGGCTCAGGCTCAGGAAAAGCCGTGGTCCCAGGGTCCAGCTGTGGCTTGGACCATCAGTGCCCATAGGCCACATGGTGGTTGATGCCATACTCACCTGCTCCTGTTTCCCTGCAACTCCTCAGGGCAGGATCACTGTGCAATAAATAGTTCTTCAGTGTTTCTTGTCCTCATCTTAATCTATTCTATGATTAATCATAGAATCACAGAATGGAAGGAAGGAACCTTAAAGCTCATCCAGTTCCAACCCCCTGCCATGGGCAGGGACACCTTCCACTAGACCAGGTTGCTCCAAGCCCCGTCCAACCTGGCCTTGAACACTGCCAGGGATGGAGCAGCCACAGCTTCTCTTGGCAACCTGTGCCAGTGCCTCAGCACCCTCATAGGGAACAGCTTCTGCCTAAGAGCTCATCTCAATCTCCCCTCTGTCAGGTTGAAGCTATTCCCCTTTGTCCTGTCCCTACAGGCCTTTGTCCAAAGCCCCTCTCCAGCTTTCTTGTAGCCCCTTTAGGCCCTGGCAGCTGCTCTAAGGTCTCCCCAGAAATCTTGTATGTGTGGCTTTTGCAGAAGCTGCACCCTACCATCCAAATAAAGGCGGAATTATTGATTTCCTCATAAGCCAGAGAGGAAAAAATGTTCAGGGAGATGTCTTAGTTCTTACAAACTAGTGGATTTGACAGCTGTGTGTGATAAGTTTCTGCGTGTGCTCTGCTGGAGTTTTTAGACAAATGAAGGTTGCTTGTTCAGAGCACACTTCTCATGGACATCAGGGCTGCCACTTCGTGGATTCCTACAACCCAGACCCCAGGATATGAGCTGTGTGTCCTGAAAATTAGCAACAAGGTGGGCACGTGTGAGTGCTACTTCTTTGCCTAGTGCGGGGATAGATGTGAACAGAGATGAACAGAGATTCTCTCTGATCATCTTTTCCCAGCAGTGTTTACCCTAAAATACATTTATTTCTGTCCTTGTTTCCAACCCCTTTACCTTCAAGTTTCTGGTGAAAAGGTGTAAATCCATCATCTATAAACCTGTTCTCCTTTCTACAAAAACTTCCTACACCATCATGTTAGCTCTGGGATGGAGGTGTAGGCCATTCTGAGTGCCACAGGATCATTCAGAGCAGCTGCCCTGTGCGGAGATGATGGGCTTTGCATGGTGAAGCTGTAAGCAGAGCAAGTGTGGTGTGGGTGTCTATTTCAGCATTTCTGTGTGGCCTGCAAATTATTTTGGCTCTGTACCATCTACTTTTGACAAGTTGATATCCGTGTCTCTGGTTACCCACGTAATTACAGACCCCAAAGCTCCTTCCCCCTGCCCCACCACTGGGTGCTGGGGGATGGGGACTGCCTCCTGCACATTTCTCCTCCTGGTCTGCAATGGTGGTGGTCAGCATCATATTTGATTCTGGGCTTTCTTACTTGAAAATTTGTGTAATCAATCTGTTTTTGAGGGATCCCAGCTTCATTCTTCCTCACTTTAACTCTGTTTTGTAGAGTCATAAAATGGATTGGGTTGGGAGGGACTTTAAAGATCATCTGGATTTCTTGCTCAAAGCACAAGTTTTCCATTGCTCACCAAAGCTATTCACCCTCTCTGACATTTTTCTGTTCCTCTTAAAGAGAAGTTTCTGTTGTGAGGTTTTCCTTTCCTTCCTGAGCCCTTTGCTGCAGCCCTGAGAGTTTCTCCTCATCACCTGGTCTGGGGCAGCATTCCTGCAGCAGGGATTGCTCCCGCTGCCCCATCCATCACAGGTGGGCCCTGTCCCTGTGGGTGTGTGTGGAGGGGTGTCATCCATCTCTGCTCTTCAACGTGACTCATCCATCCCCAGCCGCACTTTTCACTTCTCCTGCGGGAAGAGGGAGAACACAGGCCAGTCTCTATTTCTGCTGTGAAAGTTACACCCTTATGTTAGCCCAGGAGTTGGAGTGTGGAGGGAAGGAGCTGAGCACCCAGCATGGGGAGCTCCGCAGCCCCACCAAGGGAGGAAGTCTCTGTGCTCGCACCGCACAGCCCAGCCTGAGCCCTTGTCCCCTCTCTCTTGGAGTCTGAGTTTTACAGAAATCACTGCAAAGTCAGAGAAGGATTGGCCCGGATTTGGCCTCTTTCCCTGGAGAAGGGCATGTTCATCCAGCTGCTTTCTACACTTGAGGGCGAGAAATGTCCTGGAGGTGACCCTGTCCTGGTCTGAGCCCTGTGTGGGGCTGTCCTGATCCTGCTGAGGCTCTTGGCTGTTCCTTTCAAACCAGGGGCAGAGCCAGCATGCCTCAGGATTGCACTTCCCCTGTCTCCTCTGTCTGTGCTTAATAAATGTCTTTTAAACCATCTCTGGAGTTTTAGAGGGTCCTTATTCAGACATGGCGGCAGTGCTGCCTGCTGCTGCTTTGGAAACACTCTGATGAACTATGTTTCAGTGTATATATGGAGGAGTTTGATAGATGCATGTATACGTGCACATGTATGTGTATACATATATGTCTTACTCCTGTATCATTTTAAGCAGCTGCTAGTGGGTGCCGTGGTTTGTACCAGTGCAGGAAATACAGCATTTCTACAGTTGGATCGCATCCGTGTTGTCAAGTCAAATATTCAAACTCATCAAGGATCCCAACTTGAGACATAATAAACCATCATGTTTTTCTGACCAGTTGGAGCTTGCTTTTGTCACCTCCTGCTATTTCAAGGCCACTTACTGCTTTTCAGCACCACTTAAAAACCATTGTACAGCTCAATCCACTAATGCTGTCACGTTTTGATGGAATCATAGAATGAACTATGGAATGATTTGGGTTGGAAGGGACCTTAAAGCTCATCCAGTTCCAACCCCGTGCCACAGGCAGGGACACCTTCCACTAGACCAGGTTGCTCCAAGCCCCGTCCAACCTGGCAAAGCCCTGAGTCATAGGATCAGAATCAGCTAGGTTGAAAGGACCTTTAAGATCATCAAGTCCAGCCTTGAGTCCTTTCAAAGTGATGAGTAGAGTCTGGAAGTGTGGGGATGTGGGGGCTCGGGGTAGGACCAGCTAGAGCATCTCCTGAAGGGCTACAGCTCTATCTGGGGGCATCATCACATCACAGGTTCCTTGAGAAGCAGTTTGAAAGGTGACCAATCCATTGCCAGGCTTGTCACTGGAGTATTTTCTTTCAAACCCTGCTCTCAGCAGCAGCTAAACTTATTTTAACTGAAGTTTTCTTCAAGGTTAGGGTAAACACTTAGCACAGATTTAAACCTGAACAGCTTCAAGTTTGACAAAGGTTCATGTAACTTAAGGAAGAGCTTAGCTTGGGAGCTATCAGCCTTATGAAGCGCATTGACTGGAGAAGTTGTGCTGCCCTTCTTCCCCTCTAATGAGCCACCAGGAGAATAAACAAAACCCACTTTGCAGGACACCATGTGCCGCAATGACTTACTTGGAGTTATTTTCCTGGTGCTCTGTATTTGTGTGGCCACAACCCCTGTGCTGAGGTCCCTGGGGTGGCACAGGTTGGGAATTCATCTGATGCCTCATTGACCTCCTCTTGTGTTATTTTGGATGTTATTTAAGAAACTAGAGCCAAGGAGAAACCCCAGAGCTGTTGCAGACCCCGCCACCTCCCTTACCATGCTAACAGGTCTCATGCAGCTTTCCAGACCAAGCCTGGATTAGGGCAGAGACTGATTCAAACCAGCTTTATTCCCTGCTTCCCAGAGTGGGATGATTTTCTTGAGGATGGTGTAGGCAAGATCAGTACTCATAAAAAAAAAGGGAGGATAACATGTCCCATGTCCGGACTGATGCCCAAACCTCCCTTTTCCTAGCTCAGTCCTGTCAGCTCCTCTGCTTCCCCATCTCCTCACCTCCCCACACAGCTTCTGCTGCAGAGTGGATTTTTCTCCCTGATTTTTGGCTTCCTCTTGGTTGATGCAGAAATGCAGCTGGGCCCCATCAGCCTGGGGGAAGCTCTGACCTGGGAAGGGCTCCAGGTGTCTTATGTTTGCTGCAATAACTCATTCCTTTCCTCTCTCCTTCCGGAAAACCAATTAAAACTCAGTGTGGGAGAAGTGATGGAGGTGGGAGCTGCCTTTCCACCTCCTGCCCTTGCTTGGACAGTGATAATCCCAAATCTTCCTTCACCTCAGCTCCAGCCTCTTTCCTTGCAGGTCCCCTTCCTGGTCACCCTACATCCCCTCCAGTGCCACCCCAGTGGTGTCCCACCACCCCTGTGCAGAACTCGAGTCTTCTCCAGTCCAACCAGCAATACCAGTGAGGGTCCCCCAAGCCCTGTGCCAGGGGACAGAGCTGGCAGAGGGTAACACAGAAAGAGCATCTTGGAAGGAGGCAAAGGGGCTCTGTGGAGTGGCTGGAGGTCCTGCAGCTTGTTGCTTTGGGGTTTCACTGCCCGTCGGACAGCCTGAAGGAGTGCTTGGAGCAGTGTGGGCTGGAGGTGATGGGCAGCCAGGCCTGTTTCTCTGTTCCAGTGCTGCCTGGTCGGGGGCCAAGCTGGTGGAAACATGCAGACTGCAAAACCACATTCGGAGAGCAATCCCTGTTGGGCTGCAGGCCCGAAACAGTTAACAGGCATTGGAGCAGAGCCTGTTCACCCACCCACCGCATGAGATCACTGCTGCCACCACCAATCCTCGCTCCACTCCTTGCTCTGTCTGGCTGCAAAGGAGCCGGGAACCAAAGCTGGGAGTGAGAGCAGCAGCAGCAGTGAGATCGCAGCCCGGCTGCATCGAGGCAGCCCAAGCTAAACAATGCTGACCATGTAGGATCCAGCCTCTTCTCTCCGTCACCAGCGCAGCTGCAGCTCGTGGTGGTACAGCGACCGGCATCCAACCCACCTGCAGTTTGCACTGGTCTTTCCTGGGGTTTCTCACCAACATGATGGGCTGCAAGTCCAACTCACTCACTTGCCTGCAGGGAGGAAAGCCAGGACTGCCGCTGCCAGCTGCCACTGACTCCACCGCCACGCTCAACAAGCTGGCCCTGGCCACGGGTGGGACGGAGAAATCCTGGTACCGCTGCATCTTCCCCTTCGGCATCGTCTCCGTGGTCATCGGCGTGGCGGCGACGTGCATCACCTTCACCATCAATGGCCCGCAGATGGACATTGCTAAGGTGGTCTCGGTGGCCACCTTGATCTTCGGGATGGGTCTGCTGGTGGCAGCCTATGTGTGCTGGCGTGCCAAGCGGGACAGGCAGCGTAAGAGGCAACGCCAGGAGCCTATCTCCTTAGAGCAGGGAGCCCTATGACCCGGGCTGGGGGCAGAGGCGCAGCTCCACCCGGAGCTCCCTGTTTAGACGCCCTGCTCTGTCCAGCGCCCCGCTGCTCAGGGGTGACAGCACCGGCTTTGCCGCACCTGCAGGGTCCGGACCCTGCCCGAGGTCAGCTTGCCGTCATTGTCCACGCAGGAGCAGGCCCTGGCCATGAGGGGGGCTCCCGCGCGCTGCCCAGGACTGCAAGGAAAGAGCCTGGAGAGTGTCCCGAGGAGCGTGTCACCACGCGCGGACCCGCTGCCCGTCCCCACCACGCATCGCAGCGAGCCCACAGCACTGCCCGTGCTGGGCATGCCGAGACAGCCCGGCCAGCCCTGCCCGGCGTCAGAAAGAATCGATGCTGCTTCTGTCCGCTCGTGTTTTCCTCCTGCTGCGAGGACCCTCGTGGCCCCGGACGAAAGGAGTTTCCAGAGAAACCCGCGGGGTGCAGGGAGCGCCCGGAGAGGTGCGGGGCGGGGGAGGGCTTGCAGCAGACACCGAACACCAGTGCGTGAGAGCGGCCGGCTCAGGAAAGCCACGGGGACAGCAGGGGGGACAAGGGGAGGTCGGGAGCTGAGTGGGACGGGGAGAACATGGACCTCCCCATGCAGGGAACCGAGCGGCTCAGGCTGCGCAGCCCCACGGGCAGCGGCTGTTGGATGTTTGCAGTTTGCAGCGTGGCAAGCGAGGAGGAACCGGGCTCCTTCTGTCACCGTGCGTGTGATCCAGCCGTGGAATCCTGGGGGACCGGTCCTCACTGCGCGGGGTCCATCTGCCTGGGATGCCCAGGGACAGGGGGCTCGTGCTGTGAATTCACAGCAGCATCCCGCAGCTGTGGGAGCCTGAAGACAATTCTCTTCCCAGAGAAGCAGCTGGAGTTGCATTAAAAAGGATCAAATACATTTTTTCCACTTTTTTTCTTTTTCTTTTTTTTTTTTTTTTTTTGGAAACCGAATGCCTGCTCCTGTTCTTTTCTTTGAGCTCTTTACCCTAAAACCCAAGCATGAAGCGTGGGCGGGGGGGGGGGGGGGCTGTCTGGAGGCTCCGGGAGGAGCAGCAGCACCTCTGCTCTGTGCCCTGCACCCAAAGAGGCCTCCCCAGACCATCCCTTCTTCAGACTCCGCTACTAAGGGGCTGTGCCAACAACTACAGAGTGCAGCCACCCTCTAGGCTGCCAGCGCTGGAGACTTTCCATGCGCGGCGGGAGAGAGGGAATAATGCCAAAAGCCACAAGCAGGGGCACGCGAGAGCAAAGCCGAGCTTGTGCCGGGTGTGCAGGGGAGCTGTGGGTTTGGGACACTCATGAGCGTGTTATGCTACATGCTACATGCCACCCTTTGCCCTCACCGGTTCTACCCCCATGAGTAAATTGTGCTCCATGGCTGAGAGAAGAAAGCCACTGTGTGCATGGTCCAGAGCCATGCCTGTGATACTGGGATGTTCTGGGATATTAGGACTTGGAGTGCCAGTCGTGCAAAGGCATGTCCAGATACTGCAAGTCTGGGAGGTCTGGGGACACAAGTCTGACCCAGACTGTACGCCTGAGTGGTCAGGAGATGCGGCAGTGCTGCCGAGGGGGCCCAGGGCTCAGCGGGTGATGAGTTGAGCCAGGGTTGAACGTGGGCTGTCTCTGAAGCCTGGTCCCTGCTTCAGGGTGTTTGTGCATCTGAACTTCACTGTTTCAGCTTGTCCTGGGGTAAGCAAACCAGTGGTGTGCAAGCTTGGGGGCTCAGCAAAGTGCTGGTTTATTGAGAGCTTGAGGTCCTGGCTGAGTTTTATTGTCACTGTTATTACATCTTAGTTTTTAGATCCTCCTTCTTGTTCTAGTTTTCAGCAAACAGGCTTGTGGCTGCCTGTAAATGCCTCTGCTTCCACTTTGCTCATCCCACTGTTCAAAGCCACTGAAAGGGCCATCAGCCCTGCTCCTAATCCTGTCAACCTGCCCAAACCTAGGTTGCTTTTACAGTGCTCAGCTCTTCTCCTGCACTCTGAAAAGCAAACCGCATTGGAACAGGATGCAGGGGCGGGTTGTTCGGATGCATCCCAGGGAAGCCTCGTTAACCAGCCCCAGATTTCTGGCATTAGGCCCCATTGCATCCCACCCTTTATTGATCTGAAAACCTGGATTCCCCTCTTCTCCATCTCCCACAGAGCAACTGTGGGAAGGGCAGTGCTCACCCATCCCAGGGAGAGCTTGGATGAGCCGGCACCAGCCCTGCCTGGTCCTGGGCTGAGAAGTCCCACACAGGCTGATACTCCTTTTGTGCCTGTTAAAGGCTTTGCTGGATTTAATTTCTGTATTAAAATGCACACACACAAAATCCCTCCTGCTGTCTGCAAGGGGTTTATTTACATGGATGGATCCCAGCAGGGACTGTGGCTGCTGCAGGCACTGGATGAAG